TGAAATCCCAGTATTTGGCCTTGATTCTGTTTCCAGAGGGCACCAGTTCCCTGCAGTTATCTTAGATGTGGAGAGCCCAGCTAACTGCTTGAATTAACAACATCATGTGTGTACTCTGTGTCCTGAGGAATACTCANGTAATTATCCTAGCTAGACCTTCTGGATAACTTGCTGCGGCTTCTACATCAGCACTGACTGCCTCATCTTGCACATTTATGTTATTGAGCTGTCTTCTTTCCTTAAACCTCATGCATCATCCTCTGGTAGCTTCAGATTTTTCTTTTGCAGCTTCCTCACTTCTCTCAGCCTTCATAGAATTGAAGAGTAAGGGCCTTGCTCTGGGTTAGGCTTTGCTTTAAGGGAATGTTGTGGCTGGTTTGATCTTCTATTTAGACCATTAAAATTTGCTCCATATCAGCAATAAGGCTGTGTTGTTTTCTTATCATTCATGTGTTCATTGGGGTATCACTTTTAATTTCCTTCAAGAACTTTTCCTTTGCTTTCACAGCTTGGCTGTTTGGCCAAACAGTCCTAGCTTTCAGCCTGTCTTGGCTTTCAACATGCTTTCCTCACTAAGCTTAATCATATCTAGCTTTTGATTTCAAATGAGAGATGTGTGACTGTTCTTTAAGTTGAAAATTTAGAAGCTATTGTAGGTTTATTAATTGGCTGAATTTCGGTATTGTTGCATTTCAGGGAATTGGGAGGCCTGAGGAGAGGGAGGGAGGTGGGGGAATGGCCATTCGGTGGAGCAGTCAGGACACATACAACACGGATTGATTAAGTTCACTATCTTGTATGGGCACGGTTTGTGGCACCCCAAAACAATGACAATAGTAACATCAAAGACCACTAATCACATATTATCATAACAAATATAATAATGATGAAAATGTTTGAAATATTGCAAGCATTACCAAACGTGACACAGGGTAAGCGAAAGCTGTTAGAAAAATGGGATGGATAGGCTTGCTTGGTGTAAGATTGTCACAAACCTTCAATTAGTAAAAAACACAGTATCTGTGAAGTGCAATAAAACAAGATATGCCTGTGTTGAGCAGGAGTAATGTCTCTGCTCTGTAGAAGTTTCATGAGTTCATCGGCATAGCTTCTGCTTTTGGTGATCAGCTTTTGTTCATATACCATCATTAGCCATGATCAAAAATTGACATTGCCTGGTAGTTAACA